CCCTGTACCCGCCGTGGTGCTCACTGGCCGCTGCCCCCCCCTGTACCCGCCGTGGTGCTCACTGGCCGCTGCCCCCCCCTGTACCCGCCGTGGTGCTCACTGGCCGCTGCCCCCCCCATACCCGCCATGGCGTGCGTTGAGCCGCTCCATGTACTGGGCCGCCACGTCCACGGCCTCGGCCTCCGGCAGCTGCAGGTTTCCTGAGACGTTGCAGCGCAGGTCATTCCAGTCCGAGCGCAGCAGCTCGAAGTCCACAGTGCCCACGCTGAACGTGCGCTGCCAGTCGATGGCGTCCTCCCGCCAGCGGCCCGCGGGCCGCGCCGCCGCCTCTTCTTCCTCCTCACTGCCGTCCGGCGTGGCCTCTTCCCCTGGGAGGCCGTCGTCCTCCCCCTCCTCCCCCTCCTCCTCTCCCTCCCCGGGCAGCTGCGGCCTGGACACCTGGGCCACGCGGAGGAAGGAGGTCACAGGTTTTGTCTCGGCGGACGAGTTTGTGTCTGCAGTGGGCGCTTCGAGTTCCCGGGCACGCACTGGGACTACCCGGCTCCCCCAGGGGGCCTGCGTCCGGGCCGAAGGCCTCGGCTCTGCGGTCCTGCGGCGGTGGGGCTGCGGGCGGCGTGGTGGTGCCCGCAGCTGCACCCTGGGCAGGGGCCTGGGGCGTGGGAAGACCCTGGGGAAAGGGGGCCAGGGGGCGTCCGGCAGCGCCCTTCGGGAGGCCCGCAGCCTGGGCTGCACCGGCCGCACCCTCGTCACATACACCTTTGAGGGTGCTGTGTGGGGGGGTGGGGCCCGGCCCAGAAAGAGGGGCAGGGGCCGGGAGGCCCAGCTTAGGGCCCGGGAATGCCTGGGGGCCTGCCCATCCAGAGAACTGGACGTTGGTGGGACGGGGGTGGCCACAGTCAGCATCTTGGGCTTCGTGGGGGCCACCAGTGTGGGGGTCTGGCGGCCGAGCTGTGGCACAGAAGCCCCCGTTGGCTCCAGGCTGTCCAGCAGCTCCCGGTCATCCTCATCATCCAGAAAGTCTGCCGGAAGTGCCCAGTCAGCTGCAGGCCAGGCCAGCCGGCTGGGCACGCCGGGCTCGGGGGCACCTACCATCCGGGTTGAGGAAGAGGAAGGCGCGGCGCTGCATCTCCTCTTCATCATCCTCTCCCTCCTCCCTGTCCATCTTCATGTATTTGTAGAACCCAAACCTGGGGCAGGGCAGGGCAGGCATCAGGGGCCCTCGCTGCCAGGCTCTGCCTGGCTTCTGAGGGAACCGCCCTCCCCGCCCCACCCACCTCTCCAGGTACAAGGGCGACTCTCGGTAGAAGCACTTGTTGTCTGACTCCATGTGGGTGAGGCGGGTGTAGTCGTTGGGATAGACGAAGGACAGGTACACCTGGAGGCAGGGCAGCTTAGCTGTGTGTGAAGGGGCTGAGGCTGCGGGAGCCCACAGAGGAGGCCCGGCACTTACAAACTGCAGTCCCTGGTATCTTGCGATGGGAAAATCCTTGAGGATGTAGGTAGGGGCGTAGGCGCATGGCTCCAGCACGTTCTCCAGGCTGGAAGGCTCCATCCGAGGAGCTGTGAGGGGCAGTTACTGTGGCCCAACTGGCGCCCAGCCTCTG